CAGTCTGTCCATCTGTGTGTCTACCAGTCTGTGTGTCTGCCAGTCTGTCCATCTGTGTGTCTACCAGTCTGTGTGTGTCTGTCCATGTGTCTGTCCATCTTTGTGTCTTTCAGTCTATGTGTTTCTATGTGTCTGTCCACCTGTCTGTCCACCTGTGTGTCAGTCCCTCACACCCTCAGTGCAGGAGTGGCCGTCTTTAGTCCCTCTGTCAGTCTTCCAGTGCGTCGTCCTGGTCTCTGGCCTCTCCCCTGCAGACGGGCTCAGTAAGTGGAAAGATCAGCACAGCGGAGGTCGGGCTGTGCTGCTGCTTCTGTCCGCTGACTCTGTCTGTCCGCCCGTCTGCCAGATGAACATGGACAGCTCGGAGCGCCTGCCGCCGTATTTCCGCGCGGAGGAGAAGTGGCCGGGGAAGATCCACGAGCCGCTGGACCAGGGCAACTGCGCTGCGTCCTGGGCCTTTTCCACCGCAGGTGAGCGCCCTGCTCCTGTCCGCTGCCGAGGCTCGGACGTGCCCGGCTCTGCCTGAAAGCCCTTTCCTGTCTCTTGTCTCTGCTCCCTGCAGCGGTGGCGTCAGACCGCATCGCCATCCAGTCCATGGGCCACATGACCCCCCAGCTGTCGCCCCAGAACATCATTTCCTGCGACACGCGCAACCAGGGGGGCTGCACCTGGGGCCGCGTCGATGGAGCCTGGTGGTTCCTGCGCAGGAAGGGGTAGGACTGCCCTCCCGGCCGCGCCAGTCCCCCGCGCCGGGCATGTGGAGCTCCGCACTGACGGGCGCATATCTCTCCGCAGCGTGGTGACGCAGGAGTGCTACCCCTTCTCGGCCCCGCAGCCCGGAGAAACCCCCCACTGCATGATGCACAGCCGGCCGGTGGGCAGGGGCAAGAGGCAGGCCACGGCCCGCTGCCCCAGCGCCGAGAGCTACCAGAACGAGATCTACCAGTCCACCCCGCCCTACAGACTGTCTTCCAACGTAAGCACTGCACTGGGAAGACTGGAGACTGACGTCACGCTGTCCCTGCTTGATTCCACTGCCTCTGTCTGTCTGTCCCTGCTTGATTCCACTGCCTCTGTCTCTCTGTCCCTGCTTGATTCCACTGCCTCTGTCTCTCTGTCCCTGCTTGATTCCACTGTCTCTGTCACGCTGTCCCTGTTTGATTCCACTGTCTCTGTCTCTCTGTCCCTGTTTGATTCCACAGCCTCTGTCTGTCTGTCCCTGCTTGATTCCACTGTCTGTCTCACTGTCCCCTATTTTACTGCACGTGGACAGATGGGTGATTCACCACTGTGGTCTCTCTTCTGTTTCTTTGCACAGGAGAAAGAAATCATGAAGGAGATCATGGACAATGGCCCAGTGCAAGGTACCTGAATGTCTGTATATATAATGTGCTATAATGCTGACAGGGATTCTGACCAGAGAAGAAAAGCATGTGAAAGAGGCAGACGACACTGAAGTCACAGGGGCATTTGCAGAGTGGCTGGCCTGTGGGTGACCTCCTGACCCTCCCAGTTAGGGCAGTGGTGTCACTCAGGAGCTGACCGGAGAGGTGAGCTGGACTCTCTGGTTTTACTGGTTTTAGGACTGTACAGACATGAAGATGCAGAAACAGAGAAAAATGATTCATTAGATTTACAGATTGTGTCACCAAATCAATGCTGGTCGTCGAAGAGTTAACGAGGTCAATCCATTTGAAAATTAACCTGGAATGAGGCTGTAAACATGGAGAAAGAGCCACTCCACTCCGTATAGAGAGCCTGTGTACAGCACAAGTTTCTTTCTGATATTGTGACAAGTGACCAAATCACATCACCAGCTCCTGGCCTCAGTGTCAGCTCTCCTCCCTTTCAGTCTTTCACCTGAAGGGTCAGCAGGGGTCGTGACACCTGACCCCCAGTGGGCCCTGGGCACTGAGGTATCAGTCGGCAGGTGATCGCAGGCCGACCCTTCGGACCTGATAAATACGTTCAGTACCTGTGGCCACGTACACACTCTCCCTCATTGTCTCAAGGCTGCCACACGGTCAGTGACGGTGTTCAGGCTGTACCCTTCCTTGCAGCAGGGAACACAAGCTCTGCGATACAGCCATCGGCCCTCTCAAAGAACGGGCCTGACCTCTGACCTTCTTGACCCCTTGCACGAGCCACAGGTCCCTGAGAGCAGAGCATTCTCGTCAGGTATAATGAGCTGCCATGACTCACTGTGACCCTTCACCTTTGCACTGTGCCACCCAGCCTGGAGTTAGACATGGGGCTCTGCATCTTTAATCATCCCGTCACGTCCTGCTGACCCGTGATCCATCATGTTAAAGCATTTTCCAGGAATGTCTGTCACTCCTGGAATCTCCTCTTATTTCGACTTGTTTTTTACTTCTTGGCTTCGCTGCTCATTCCTGACAGTTTTACAAACTGGGATCAGGCTCTGTTTGTTCTGGGGTTACAGGGGTGCAGGATCAGGCTCTGTTTGTTCTGGGATTACAGGGGTGCAGGATCAGGCTCTGTTAGTTCTGGGGTTACAGGGGTGCAGGACTAGGCTCTGTTAGTTCTGGGGTTTGACGAGGGCAGTTTTACTCTATTCAGGCCTGGCTGTAGACGTGTGGCCCTGCAGAGCACCGTGGCTCTGAGACTGGGGAAAAGCCCACACACACTGGTCCCAGTTCGGTGCGCCTGCCCGCTGGTCTCGGCTCCTCTGGCCGAGCGGGCGCGATTCCCTGACGGGCTCTCCCCTATTCCCCACGCAGCCATCATGGAGGTGCATGAGGATTTCTTCGTATACCGGAGTGGGATCTACCGGCACACGCCCGTCAGCAGCCGCAAGGCCCCGCAGTACCGGAAGCACGGCACGCACTCCGTCAGGATCACAGGGTGAGGACAGCCGCCCTGCTCCGGGCTCCGGGTGGCTCAGATCCAGGGAATCTCATCCAGTGCGATAAGGGTCGTGCAAGCTGCAGGAATCCATCCCAGCGCCTGCTGTGGTTCTGGAGTGTTTCGTTGGACTCAGGTTTTCTTATTGACCTGGTCGACTCGTAATGGTCTTAACTGGACAAATTTAGCTTTCCAGGGCTCGGGACGAAGCGGGATGTCTCGCTCTCCTGCAGTGTCATTCTGACAAGCCCTGCCTCAGCAGAACGGGGCTCGTTCCTAGAAACGCCCGCTTTCCCCACCGTGTGAATGTAATTGCAGCCGCCCCTCGTCACGGCCCTGGTTTCCTGGAGTGCCTGACTGTTTCGCCACACTTCAGAGATTAGATCAGGGGTGACAGGGCTCTCCGCGCCTGGGAGAGGGGGCTGCCACAGGAATGCAGACAGCACACCTGGACCGTCTGACCCCCCCACCGGCGCCTCCTCCGCCCAGCCCTCCTCAGCACCTCCCCAGCAGCTCCTGGAACAGCTGCCAGGAGGGCAGGGTCCCGGGTCCCAGCCGGTCTCGTCCTGCGTCGGGACCGCTCTTCGTGATTGGCTGCTGTTTAGAGATCCTGTCTCTGCTGGCAGCTGAGGGCCAGTTGTAGAATCTGCCAGCCGGCTCACAGTCTGGAGTTGCCAAACGAGCTGGCACAGCAACACTGCTTACTACGGGGCTGCCACGTGTTAATTAGACTAATTGCCATATATAATTCCCCCCGACCAAACAAGCCAAGACAGACAGGTTTGCCTTGTGGGAATGAAAGCCAGTTGACTCTTGCCATCCCACAGCCCCCTGGGGCAGACCCACCTCAGGAGGTGTCCCGCTCTGCCGCTGTGCTCCTGCAGCTCCTCCTGTTCTCTCCCTGTTGTCCTGAGTTATTGTCAAGGGGGCCCACGCTGCGGCCAAGGCGCATCCCTGCCGCTCTGCTCCGGCCCCTGTGTGCCGCGATGGGCGTGCGGGTCGCTATCCTGCTATCCCGCCAGCCCGTCTGCCCGCTCACGCTACCGTCCCCATGACATGGCTAAAAGAAGAAAGTGGAAATGCTTTTGGAAACTTTGCTGAGAGCAGGAGAAGGAACACTGACACCGGCTGACGTGACTCCCAAGCCCCTGTCTGACAGATCCTGTCATCTCAACGAATTTCTTTAAGTTCAGAGAAATCTGTCTGCTAACAGTTCTGTTAGATTGCAGCCTCACCCCTGCTGTTATTTTTAAGACTTTGCCCTTTGTTAGCTGGAACACTGCACTCTCCCTGGGTCAAGGTGCCTGCTGGATTGATGAGGCAATGACAGAGCTTGGCTGAGCACTCCCTCTCCCATGAGCCCCTGCAGCTGGGCTGCTCACCATTCCCAGCAGGAGGGGACATGTGACCAGGAGGCTGGGACTCAGCTTCTCCAGCTGTGGGCTGCAACTTGAATCGGTATTCAGGTGGAATTGGAAGAGGTCATCTTTATGAAATGTGGATCAGGAGTTTCACTGACACCAGCTCACTTTGCTAGCATGAAGGCCCTAGCACACAGACAAAGTGCCCTCAAGCTGAAAAGGTGTGGGGAAGGAGAAGGGAGAATGATGCCTGCGCTAACTGCGATGCCAACACCTTGCTGGGGTAAAAGGGCCGCTGTGTGACTCCCGGGGTGCTGTTGGAGCCGGGCCTGAAGACAGCTGGAGCTGTTGCTCAGAACGGGTCTGTGCCCGGTCACTCGGGGGCTGACGCTGCACTTCTTTCGCTGCTCTGGGCTGCAGCAATAGCCGCCAGAATCCGTGTATTTTCAGGATGCGGGGGGTGACGGTGGGGAGACAATCCCTCTCCATCACGCCCCATTAGGCCCCGGCCCCAGCCGCGCCTGGGAAAGGCTGCAGAAAGCACATTGCTGTGCGCCCTGGTGGAAGAGCCTTTGTCTGCGGCGCCAGGGCGAGACGGTGTTCTGGGTCGGGGTGTTCCTGGCGAGGGAGGATGGGCTGGGGCAGGGGGAGTTTCCTTCCTCGGCCTGTGACAGGAAGTGACCAGAGGATTTCTGTCGTGCTTTAGCCTTCAGGGGAGATGAGGAGTGCCTCTCTGATGCACTGCCTCGTCTAGAAGTCGATCAGGCGCCCCAAGGAGCACCAGGGTACAGGGACGCCCTGCAACACGGTGCCATCATGCGTACAGAGTCACCTCTCATCACAGCCAAAGAGGCAGGGTTCTTTATCCCTATCAATTTCTTGGATTTACAAACATATAGTCAGTTTGCCGTAAGAAATCCGCAGGGTATTTTTGTCCTTTTCCTGTATTTCCACCCAGGAATTCACCAGGAATTTCCTTTCCACAGAAGTGGACTCCTGAGGATCATACCATTCTTCACCACTCAGTCTGCATCAGCAGTGCTGTCAATACTGGGCTGTTTTTCCCAGGGTCAGGTTTTCACCACAGTGCTTTCACACAGGAGCTCTGAAGCTCTCGTTGGCTGGAGAGCTGCAGCACATGTACTGACTTGTGATCTGGTGCTCTCAACTTGCCTACTTCCATTCTTTTTTCTTTTATTTTTTTCATGGAAACAACTGCTTAGAACTGAGGTCTTCAGCTCTGTCGCTGGCATCTGGGCTTTCAGTCTGTCTGCCTGCGAATTAAGAGCCAGCGCTTTGCACCTGCCTGTCAGAGCACTGGACATGCAGGTGCTCGTACTCCTCACAGAAACATCTTCTACTGCTGGTATTATTAATAATGATGCATTGCTTTCTCTGCCGTTGTTACAGATGGGGAGAGGAAAGGGATTATAATGGCCAGACACGGAAGTACTGGGTAAGGGCACACAAATTCACCGTTCCTCCCTACCTCCCTTTCTTCCTGTAACACTGCATTTAAAATTTTAGAATCAACAACGGGCAGCACAATCAGTCTCTAGTTAGCAGACCACTCAACTTTCTGGTTCTCTATCTCTGCCCTGGACTGTGTGCGTGTCCTGTGCGTGTGTGTGTGTATGGAGGTGTATACATAGCAGCTCTGCTCACTTCTCCCCCTGCAGATTGCTGCCAATTCATGGGGGAGGAACTGGGGAGAGGACGGCTACTTCAAGATCGCCCGGGGGGAGAATGAGTGCCAGATCGAGACCTTTATCATCGGCGTCTGGGGTCGTGTCACCATGGAGGACATGCACCACCACCACAGGAAGTGAGGCCGAGAGGCAGGAGGTGGCGAAATCCGAGACGGATTAAGACACGTGATGATTCACTTTCATCAACCAAATACACACAGTCTCACCCCGGCTGTCCGTGTTCCAACTGGCCAGCCTGCAGCTGGGTTCAGGACTCACCGCTAAATATCTCAGGACTCCATTCCAAAGATTCCAATGCCTTAGCCACTTTTATTCCACTCCGTCTCTGGATCTGATAAGGACTCAACTTTCTTTTATGGGATCAGAGTTTGGACATTTTCTGTGTTAGTTTGTTTGCTTCACTAACAGTGGAAGAGACAAGCAGTCTGGGACTCAGTCTTCCTGCTTTTTAATGCTTTTACAAGCTCTAGACCGTTTTCACAGGGGGCTGGAGGAGATCAGACCATGGTGCATACTGTAGTCCTCCAGGACTGATAGTAGTTCAGGTGGGGAGCTGCAGCAGCATGCGTAGGCTGCAAAGGAACATGTTAAGGTTTACTCCATGGAGCCTTCTTCGGTTGTGAGCACAGTCTCATTTGCTCACACCTGAAGAAGGCTCCACAGCCGAAACATTGTGTTTTCTTTCTTCTCTTTTCAGCATCGAATAAACCTATTACTTGTTCCTTTGTAGGACTGAAAGTAGCTTAGTGTCAGTGGCAGTGCATTTACTGTATGAGCTGGTCTTTGTGAGGAGTTTCAGTCTGTCACACATAACTCCAGCCCTCTTGTTGAGCACTAGGTGGTCATCTCATTAATCCAGAGCCTCCTACATTCCAGCTGAGAACTGTAGCTATGGGGAGAACTCTTTCCGTCTCTCCCACTAGCTGAATCTACTCTTTTAGTCAGTACTAATCCTCTCAAATGTTCTTCAGTTCCAAGTGTGAGCTGCATCAATCAGGATCACTCCAAACCCCTCCCAGAATACACGATCAGGAGTGGTCACATGCTTGTCTCATGCAGCTTTGAGACAAAGTCTCTGGGCTAAACAGCACGGTTAGCCAACCAGTCTCCTGTTGCTTATTAATCAGCTTTTTGCCCAAAATAGGTTCTCATGCAACTTGTATGGCTGAACTGAAAGGGCAAAATTACTCTGTGTAATTTTAAATTTGAGCCTGAGCAAACTTAACATAATGTTATAGGTCTGGAACGAGCAGCAGTTATAGGCCTCTATAAGACAGCCCTGTATCTGATAAAACCTGGAAGAGGCCCCCTGCCAGGGGATGGGTCTGAGGTCTTCCCTCTGCATCAGTCTTGTGCTGTAGACCCCTCCCATACACAGCACCTCATAGAGGAGCTCAGAGAGCTCTCCACTGCCAGAAACACACCACACTTCTCGTTAAGGCCAGCTAACATCCCTTTAGTTCATATATGTGAAGTAGAATTTAGTCTTATTTTACTGGAGTTTGCATTCTGTAGTGTGGTGATGACCTGTGCAGAGCCATTGCTCTTATTGGTGCTCTAGAGGTCTTCTCATTGACTGTGATGCTGCTGAGTGGCCTTCAGTGAGAACAGAGCCTGCTCTTGCATCCTGTTACACCTGAGCCCTGATGCTGCTTTATTCTTCCAAGGAAGGAAATCCAAGCAGCTGTCTGTGGGGGAGCCAGCGGGTGCTGGTGGGGAGCTCTTCTGCCTCAGTCTGTTCAGTGTCCTCATCATCCCATCTGTGCAGAGAAACAATCCCATCAAACCAGTGCTGTTTGTCATCTCCACTCTCTCCGGGCACTTGCATTACTCTTCTAGGGAACCGGTCTGTCTGCTCTGGGATCGTTAGATCTTTAAAGCTTATCCCTGTGGTGACTACTTCTGTGCCAAGTTTCATGTGTCTGTCAGGTCCTCAGCTTGGCTGTGGTGGTGCTGCCCAAGGGGATCTCCAGGCTGACATCACCACAGGCATGAGCAGCCTGGGGACACAGCGGTGTGCAGTCTCAGAGGTGTGCAGTCTCAGAGGTGCGCTCAGAGGTGTGCAGTCTCAGAGGTGCGCTCAGAGGTGTGCAGTCTCAGAGGTGTGCTCAGGTCTCAGAGTCTGAAATGTCTGAAATGCAGCAGACAGCTTGTCTCCAACACTGGAGAAGCACAGTGTCCTCTGCGCTGCTGTGCCCAGAGAGAGGTGGGGGTCTGGAACGCACAGCCCTGGTGACAGTACTGTTTCTCTCTGAGTCTCCTGGAACGCCGACTGGAAACATCTGAGCGAGGCCCTGGGCCTCTCTGAGGAATAGCCTTGGGCAGAGAGAGTGTTGTGCACAATACTGGCAACAGAGTCCTTCAGTCATGTGATGTCATTTGATTAATGCTTCTTTCCTGTTGCTTCAGGATGTGGAAAATAAATGACCAGTCAAAACGTGAAATGATGCACACGAAACATCACATCCCAAACAACATTACAGACAATGTGCAGGGCAATGTGCAGCTTGTTGGTTGTGCTTATTTCTATTTTATGCAGATTTAAAAAACTAAACATGAGGCTTTTTATGTTTAATTTATGATGTCGATATTGAACCTGTTTTCACCCTGTTTTTAACTTTTTATGTCTAAAAGAGAATAAGACAAATATATTTCTATGCACTATTTAAATATATAAAGATACACTATATACGTATATATATATAAAATATGTCTATCAAGTTGGGGTGAATGGCCTCCTGTCATTTGCAACCTTTCCTATCAAACAGGAGAAGTGTTCTTCTGCAGAGGACATTCCTGCAGGGGGAGCTTCAGAAAAGACCTGAGGCTGTACATTCAGAAAGCTCCTGGCAGCTCAATACGGAGGCAGGCTGGATGGTCTGCTCTTGTTTCTCACCGGTCTAATTTCCCTGTATCTGTGCAGCTGAAGACCCCCTGTAACAGAAGCAGAGAGAGGCACTGATTCATAGCTGTAATGCATACTTGGGTTGAAAGTGTCCTATTAGGTCAACAATGTTTCTTTTAATTGTGTAGAATTGCCAAATCATCTAAATTGATGGCTGCCAGTACCTGTGTCAAGATACAGTCTTAAATAGAGGAGCATTAATATCGGCTGTACTGTGTGTTTGTTCTTTTTGAAGTGTTGCAGCACAGTGGCGAGAGCTCTGGAGGGGTAGAAGGGGTGTGAGCTCTTCTTCAGTGGAGGTTGAGCAGTGGGCAGCGTGGGGAGGTTTCAGGAGGTGGAGAGGCTGATTCTGGCTGACCCGAGGGGCACCCTGACCTCACACACATTCCAGCCTTGAGAGCCTCTGGTCAGGGTCAGCTGTTACAGCTCCCGTTCGGAAAGTTATTCATTCAAACCACAGACACACAACAGCTTCTGTGCCTTTATTTCAAACTCTGTAAAACTTTGAAGCTCTTCCTTTTTATCCAATAAAGACCCTAAACCCCCCCCCCCCCCGTCGTCGTCCTCTCTGTGACTCTCCTGAGAGCACTTCGTTTCTGAAGATAAAAGATCCACTTCCTTCTTCCAAACCAAAAAACAGGTTTCCAAACAAACTACAGTGACAGTGTGTTTATTCACTAAGATTCTCAGCATAACCTGATTTTCTGTCTGCTCGTAGATTCTGCTATAAAATCCGACAGGCAGGCAGGACATTTTCTTTGGGATGTTTCAGACAAAAGTCCTTGTTCAGCTGTTTCATCAGCTGTCATTTCTTTCTGAACAGCTGAAGGACTTTTGTCTGAAATCATTTTCACCTTGTGTACTGCTTGAAAATGTCCTCTTTCTTTTTCAGTCACTCGTGTCTTTGTACACTACAGTGAAACCTCCTCTAGAAACATTTCCAGTAGCTTGTAAATCCCTGTGGGGTTACAACTGGAGGTGTGTCAGGAGGGAAAGGCAGGCCCTGCTCAGGCTGACTTTCTCCTGGCTCATTCAATGCTTAGCCATACAGTCCAGTCAATAGGTCAGAGATCCTAAACTGGGAGCACTGTGAGAGAGCGCCCAGATCACACACACAGGGCTGGGGGTCTGGCAGCACACTGGACGGGCCTGGGACGGGTCATTGCGCCCCTGTGCGTCTGTGTGTCCATCCTGACAGGACAGCTGTGTCAGCACTGCACTGGCCATTGTGCCTTTCACACTACAGCCCGCTGCCATGGGGCTGACAGGACTCAGGCGCAGACAGCCGAACTGAGGTTTAGCGCAGGATTAAAGCCGGAGCCACGCTCCGGTCAGGTCTGCTCAAGGGGAAATTCCTGTCTGTGGGGCTTGTGGGACTGCTCACAGAGCAGCTGGTGAGCAGTGCGTGTCTGTCTAGGAGGACACCACTACGTGACTGTGTGTGTGTGTGTGTGTTCAAGTTCATGTTTTATACGTAACCCTTAGATCTAGTGCCATTTTAATAATAATCAACTTAAGTAATTGATTTAACTTCAATAATTTATTGAGCATTTGGAACCAAAATACCCTTTGGCTTGAGACAGCTCCAGTCCTCCAAGATTTGGATCCAGCGGGTCCTTCTGCTCTCCTTAAGACATCAGCAGCTGAAGCCCTCTGACAAGTGTTCAAGAGCCCAGTGAGGATGAAGATCAGCTGATCAATGAGATCATTAAGAGGCAGGTAGGATTGAAAACCCAGAGACTGGAGCTGTGCACCCTGCTGTGAAGTGTGTGTATGATGTTACAGCTTTCTGTGCCCTCTGGGAAGCTGCAGATAAACAACTTGACTTTCAGCCTAGAGCCCTGATCCGTTTTCCATTATCCAAAGCAAAACCAAACAAACAAAGACTGAAAAGAAGCTCTGGTGTACCCATTACCTCAACTGAAACTGAGTCACTCCGAAAAAATGTCCCCAACTGCCAAAGTTTTAACCTTAAAATAAAAAAAGGAAAAAATTATTGAGACCCTAAACACAAAAACAATTTGTGCTCTGTGCTCTCTTGCTATTCCATGGCTATTGTCTCTGGATTTTCTGGAATGATCACCAACTTCCCCTCCAGAAATCCGGAATGCCGAGGCATTCCGTAAACACTGGTGGTGCGGACAATGGGCTATCCGGCCTGTGATTGGCTGTGGAAGTGAGGTGTGCCGCCGCACAGCTGGGATTCTCATCGCCGTGCGCGGCTCGCCCGCTCCGCGGCGGTGGGACCTCGGGAATCGCTCGAAAGCCCTTTACTGCTCTGCTTCTTGATTAGCCTCGCTCTCGCCTGCTGCCATGCTGGAAGGTGAAGGCGCTGTACTTCCAAGAGTACAACAACAGCAATCTGGCAGGCTCCCAGCGTCTCGTTGTGTGAAATCATCTCAAAGTGCTTTTGCATAATTACAAAAAAATACGTTTAGAAAACAATTCATGTCATGTTTAAGGAAAGCAAAATAAAGTCTATTTAACCAAAAGTTTAGTTTCTCAGATGCAATTTGATATGTCATTTAATCCCTACTGCTGTTACTGTACATAATTTGATCAAGCTCAGGGCTCTGCTGGGTGTGAGGCGCGGTGTGTGAGCGTGTCTCAGTGCTGTGCTTACCTGCTCCAGTGTCCCTGAAGAGAAACTGCCTGGCCACAGGGCTTGTGCAAAACCAGCACTCTCGCACTCTATCCTTATTAAGA